TGCATTTTTGGCCACCCTCTGCCTGATGCCTGGCAACAAGGCACTGGGCATCAATGGGCTGACCTTGGAGTTCTACCCGGGTTTCTGGGATGTCCTCGGCATGGAACTTGCTGCGGTCTAGGCCAAACCTGAAGGAAGTGGGGAACTCCCCCGTCATGCCAGAGGGCTGTGCTGACCCTACTGCTGAAAAAGGGAGATCCCCACATCCTAATTGGTTTCCCATTTCCCTCCTCTGCATGGACTACAGGGTGGTAGTGAAAGCCATCTTGCTGCACCTGCAGTCCATGCTGACAGACATGATCCATCCAGACCAGATGTACACGGTGCCCAGACGTTCCATCTTTGACAACCTGTACCTGGTTTAAGACCTCCTGGAGCTTGCACACTGGGAAGGCCTGTCTTTCACCCTCCTATCCCTGGACCAGAAGGCATTTGACAGAGTGGATCATGGGTACCTCACAGGCATGCTGAGGGCCTTTGGCTTTGTGCTCTGCTTCTTGCAAGCTCTCCAGGTGCTGTATGCCTCTGCAGAATGTTTGGTCAAGCTCAACTGGACCCTGACAGAGCCCATCCCTTTCAGGAGAGGGGTGCATCAAGGCTGCCCACTGTCAGGCCAGCTGTATACCTTGGCCCTGGAGCCCTTCCTCATTCTCCTGTGGAAGCAGGTGGAGGGGTTGATGCTCTGGGAGCTGGCAGTGCAGATGGTCCTGTCAGCATATGCTGAAAACATACTCCTCATGGCCCAGGACTCAGGTGACCTGGCAAAGGTGGAGGCCTGCCAGGCATTGTACTTGGCAGCCTCCTTTGCCCAGGTCAACTGGGTCAAGAGCTTTGGCCTGGTGGTGGGTGACAGGTGGTAGGTGGGCTCACTCCCACTCACTCTCTGTGGGATCCACTGAAATGTAGGCTTGCTGCTGTTCTTGGGGGTCTACCTGTCCCACACAGACCCCTCCCCACCATGCATCAGTCACCCAGGGCACCACCTTGCTCATTGAGCCCCTCCTCTGGCACCCTCAGCTGTAAGTACCAATGGCAGAGGCTCTGTGGTTGCAACAGAGATTGATCCTGGCTGGTGTCACCCATATCAGAGACTACCTAGACTATGATATGCAGGAGTGGGTTGACCCTGCTGTGCTGGTAGCCCGCATGAGTCAGGAGGTGAAATCTGCCCTGTCTCCCAATGCCCTTGCCTTTGACCAGGTCCTGTGTGGTAGCACTCCTTGCCTCCCCCCACCCCCAGAGTGGCCTCCAGCCCACCAGAGTTTGTCATGGGGCCGGTGCCTCACCCGGCCTCATGGCATTCCCTGCTCCACCACCTGAGACAGCTGGAGGACACCAGACTGGTCTGTTTTTCCACCACTCATTCCCACCACCTTCACACACTCATGCAGTGCACTGTCTACCATGCCACCCTCATGTCCCACCCAGATACCAAGTGGCAGGACCTGCAGAGTGAGGGCATGTTTGGGGCACTCCAGTGGCTGAGTCTGTACTCCACCCTCATGCTATGAGCCACTGGGAACCTCAGATGTGGCTCCTCCATGGAGCCATCACCATGGATGTGTATGTGGTGAGCTTCATGAACACCCCAGTCTCCTGCCCCTTTGGCAGACAGAGGGAGACCCTGGTCACATGACCCTTGAGTGCACCAGGCTTCACCCACTCTGCCTCCAGAACCTCCTCTTGAGGTTCTTGTTGAATTTCACCCCCCACCTTTTTTGTTTTTGGTCAACCCATCTGTGGCCCCACCAAGTCCCAGGACCTCCTGGTCAAGCTCCTCCTGGCCCTGGCCAAGTGGGCACGCTACTTGACCAGGAAAGAGGCTCTGGCCAGGAAGCTGCTCAGAGACTGCAAGGCCACTTTTCTTTCACTTGTCCATGCACATTTCCAGGCGGCATCCACCAGCATCATGAATGCCTTTGACTGGTGGGTGTTGCCTGGGGGGCTCTGCTTGGTGTCCTCCTCAGGTGTACTTATTTTCACATTTTGACCCTCATCCCTCCCGGTGAGGCATCTGGTGGGACCTTGGCACAGGGGCCTGGCTAGGGCTGGCACTGGGGACCCACCTGGATGGCAGAGGAGGTGGCCAGCCTCCTGTCCATCTGGGGCCAGGAGGATGCACTTTGGCAATTTAGAGCTATCACTGTAATGAACATCTCTATAGGGCAATAGTTGCCCAGATGGCATAGTGGGGTCACAGGAAGATGTGGCAGCAATGCCACACTATGGCCAAGTCATTGCAGTGGAAATTTACTGCTGTCCATGATGCCAACCAGTGGTCAGGAGCAGGGCACACCACCATGCTCCACTACGAGGATCTGGCTCACATCCTAAGGCTCACAGCCACTAAGTCCCCCTGCTGCTCCTTTGCCACTGGGTAAGGGGCAGCAGCAGGGCCAGCCAGTGCAGGGACCTAGCCAGAGTCCCCAAAAGTAGGGCCATCCTATAGACCTGCTGGTATACCATTGATGAGTGTCAGAAGCAACAGAAGCAAGGGGAAAACCCTGCCAGCCACAGCCAGTGCCACCACCATGCCGGAGGAGAGCCCTGAGCAGGAGGTCCCCTGACTCCTGCTGACCAGCAGAAGAAGTGGGGAAGGGCAGCCCAGGGTGTTGCCTAGATCAGCAGAGGACACACCCCAGTGACCTTGACACCAGCCCTCACCCCCACCAGAGACTGGATCCAGCTCTGCCACTCAAGCCAGCTACCTGTTACCAAGACCTGGTAGGTCCTACATGCCATGGGGAATTGGGAGCTTTTCCCCCAGCCTGCTCTTCTTCAAAGCCTGTGTGTGCACCTCATGTGTGTCCTTGCCACCTCCATCCTCTCCTACCCCCCCACCCATCAGGGCCAAGAATATCCCCCCACCTTATCAGCACTTCCAGCTGGATGGAGCTGGCCCTGGTGATGAGGGCAGGGGGGAGGTGTAGGACTCGCCCCATGAGCCCTTGGGGCCCCAGCTCCACAGCACTGGGGCCCCTACCTGAGGACCTGGCCCTCTTGGAACACTGATCTTCTCTGGTAGAGGGAAATGCTGGGCACCATAGCCTGAGCTGGCTGTGATGTTTATCCCCAGGAGAATCCATTCAGGCACACAGTGGGAGGGAATGGCCAGATCCTAGGATGACTATGGCCCTTGTCAGGGGGATGGGCCCACATAGATCTGGGCCTGGACACATGAGCATGGACTGCCTGCATGGCCACATGCTCAAGGTTGAGGCAGCTGCTTATGGACATCTTGGAGGAGATGCAGTAACTCCGGGCCTCCATTGAGATGGCCATAGCACATGAACTCAGGGTCAGTGAGCAGCTCATGGCTGCCATTCCTGCCCCAGCTGCTCTCTCAGGCTTCACCAATCATGCCACAGCTATCAGGACAGCCTGTGCCCCTGGTACCAGGGAAGGACCTAGCTGGAGGCAGGTTGGCTGGATGGTGCCGCAGTTGCCCCCCCCTCCACCCCCCCCAAGCAGGCTCCACAAGTCCACTATAGGCATCAAGGGGCATGGATCCTGCCTCCCCCTGGCTCAGACCAGCCTTCAGTGGCTGCCCACAGGAGGAGCACCCACCCTCCTACCTAGAGAAGCTGTGCCCTGGGCCACATCCTCATGGCCCACGCACATGTGGTGAAAGTACCAGGACCAGGTCAGGACTGTAGGGCAGTGCAACAAATTGCCCTCCCCAGTGGCATCTTTTTGCTTGCTATCTACAATCTATGAGGGGCGCCCTTGAAGTCCCTTAATGTTTCTCATGTCCCACTTTTACTCGCCTGCCACATCTTCATGGAAGTTTTATAGAGATGTTCTTGTAAGTGGGAGACTGCCTATTGTATTTTTATATTGGGGTTCTCAGCCACCATGGGCCTTGACTCCTGTCTCTCTAGCTAGGCCTCCCAGTCTAAACCCTCCAGATAAGGTCAAACTCCTAAGCTCTAGCTCCTTGCTCAAGGGGCTCGTGGCCCTCCTTTTTGCCTCCAATGCAGAGTCCAGACTCTCTGGCCTAGAGGCCCATCCACTAGCCTCAAAGCCCAGGGGCTGCAAGTTCAAAGCTAGGCAGCAGCCCCAAACCTCCACTATCCCAGCCCAAAAGCACACACTGGGTGTACCTGGCCATTTTGGCCTTTTATGACTGTGCCTAAGGTGCTAATAAGGCCTCTTCCACCCCTACAGCTCCCTCCACAAACCACCAGTTTAATCAAACTAACAAAGTATCTCTCTCTCTAGTGTCAACTAGCAAGTTCTAACCATAAGAAAAAAATAGGAATTGAAGAAGGCAGCAGTGTCAGCTTACATTTTCTTTGTGGCTTGGCGCTTCTGCTTCCCTGATGATTGTGATGCTCCTCCTGGTGATGAGCCACCGCTTCTCAGAGGATCAGCAGCAGTTCCCTCCTTACAGCAGTTGGACCAGCAGCCAAGCCTCTCTGGGGAGCTCCCATGCACAACTTCTTTTCCCTTCAGTAGCTACCTCCCTACTGTGGCCAAGCCCAGGGTTTTTAAAGTTTTGGCCTACCCCTTCTGGTCACCTGACTAGCTGGCAAGGCTCAGCTTTTAACCCCTTCCCTGCCATTAGGCTGTGCCTGCAAAGTTCTGGTCTTAAAGGGACCAGCCTGCCTTCTGGTAACAGGGATAGGGTTCCCTGTTACAGCCCCCCCCCCCCTTTTGTACGGGGTCTTTCCTTTATGAAAAAGCAGCATGGTTGCAGACTGAGAGCCCATCTCATTAGCCTAGCATTATCTGTCTTCATGCTTTGTAGCCATTGCAATGGGGCATGGTCTGTGATTAATGTGAACTTTCAGCGTAACATATAATTCCAAAGTGTTTCTGTGGCCCATTTGATTACCAAACATTCTCTCTCTATTGTTGCATAATTCCTTTCAGGTGGGTGCAACTTTCTACTTATGTACACTATTGGACATTCTTCTCCTTCCATTTGGACCAATACCTCACCAATAGCCCAGTTTGATGCATCTGTCAATACCAAAAAAGCTTTATTGAAATCTGGTGTATATAACAATGGCTGTGTACAAAGTGCATCCTTCGCCTTTTGGAATGCTTCTTCTGTCTCTGGTGTCCCTCTCACCTTAGTTGGAGCTGTAGCCCTTACAATCTCAGTCGAAAGCACCACTAAATCTGTGAAGTGAGGAACAAATTTCCTATAATAATTTGCCAGTCCCAAGAAAGCCCTCACTTGTTTCTTTGTTTGGGGAGTTTGATACTTCCTCAATGCCTCTTCTTTATCCAGCAGCGGATGCACCTTACCACTTCCTACCTGGAACCCAAGGTACCGTGTTTCCTCTTTCCCAATTGTGCACTCTTACCCCAAATAAGAAGGGCAGTTACATTTGATCCCACTTCTGGGGCCTCTCTACCACAAACATCTTCAACATATGTTTCAAAGTCCTGTTAAACTGTTCCACTAGCCCGTCAGTTTGGGGATGGTATACTGAGGTCTTGAGGTGTTTAATGCCTAGTGTTTTACTCACTCCCTTGAACATACGAGATGTAAAGTTCATTCCTTGATCAGTCAGCAGTTCTTTAGAGAGTCCCACTCAGGAGAATATATTTAATAACTCCTCTGCCACCTTTGAGGTAGACACTGTCTGCATAGGCACAGCCTCTGGCTACCTCATTGTATAGTCCAGGAGGACCAAAATAAATTGGTGCCCAGCACTGCTTCTTGGCAGTGGCCCCACAATATCCACTGCCACCCACTCAAAGGGGACTTCCACCAAGGGCAGTGGTACTAATGGAGCTCTTGGAAGATGACCAGGGTTTACTTTTTGGTACACGGGACAAGATGCACAGTACTTTGCTACTTCCCGTATTAACCCCAGCCAAAAAAAGAAAACACCTTCCCCGAATGTGAGCTTCTGTCTTGTCTCACCCCAAATGTCCACCCATAGGGAGTTCATGAGCTACTTTCAGCAGGGCCCTCCTATCATCGAGGTACCAGCAATTGCTTTGTACTTCTTCTCTTCCAGGTTTTCCATGCTCGACTCTGTATAGGAGATTGTTCCTCACCTTGAATCGTGGAGTTGTCTTCATCTCTGGTTGTAGCACCTCCCCATTTCACTGAGCTAGATGTTCCTGGAATGCATACCAAAACCCTTCCTCTTGACTTTGTTCCAATTGGAAATGCTCATCCTCCCGCAAGTGTGCAACATCCACCTCCTATTGTACTTCTTCATCTGGTGGAGGACATTCAGCCTCACCAGCAAATACCTCAGTCATAAGATAGTCCTCAAATATCACCTCAGACCTTACTGTCTCACATCCTGTCTGTCCTACTTCCAATGGCCTCCAGTTGGGGCCTTCTCCTGCCTCTAACTTCTCTGCAGAGGCTTTCCCCCTAGTCCAAATGGGGTAGCATTGTGGAGCACCTCTAGTTTTTCCTCACCCCTCTCAAACTATATGTCACCGCTTCTTCTTTCTTCCTCTTATGGGCTATGACTGTCAGTAGCTCTGGCCAGTCACATCCCAGCATCATCAGATAGGGTAAGTGCTCAGCTACTCCGACTAGCATCCAGCGCATTTTCTCACCCACTTGCAGATTAACCCACACCCTGTCTTGTGCGGGGAGACTCAAAGACAAGCATTGAATAATTATCTGATCTGCTACTTCCCTCTCTCTTCCTGGTAACATGTCTCTTCGCACTACTGTGTGTGTGATGAGCCTGAATCCAATATAGCATGCTCTTCTGTCCCTCCAGCTTCACATCCACCATTAGTGCAGGCTGTTCCTCTCCTGCATCAGGGTGAACCCTGGCACCATACCCAGAAATGCCCTCGTGGGGTGCTCATCTTGTTTGTACGCCTCTCACCATCCTTTATAACAATGCCTGTTGTTTTTCTGTTTGTTCCTGCGGACCTTGGACTACTTGACACAGGAGTCCCAATACTGTTGTTGTGCACCTAAATCTGAGGCTTGGATCTGCACTGGCTTTCCTGCCCTCTCTTTGGATCCAAGGGTTCTTTCCTTCATTTGGGCAAACTATCCTCTCAGGGTACACACTGCCATAGGAATTTTCCCTGCCAATGGACCAATGTAACAGGTTGCCCTCCCCAGTGGCATCTTTTTGCTTGCTATCTACAACCTATGAGAGGCACTCTTGAAGTTCCTTAATGTTTCTTGTGTCCCACTTTTACTCGCCTGCCACATCTTGATGGAAATTTTATACAGATGTTCTTGTAAGCAGGAGACTGCCTATTGTATTTTTATGTTGGGGTTCTCAGCCACCAAAGGCCTTGACCCCTGTCTTTCTCTAGCTAGGCCTCCCAGTCTAAACACACCAGATAGGGTGCAACTCCAAGGCTCTACCTCCTTGATCTTGGGTCTCATGACCCTCCCTTTTGCCTCCAATACAGAGTCCCAACTCTCTGGCCTAGAGGCCCATCCACTGGCCTCAAAGCCTGGGGGCTGTAAGTTCAAAGATAGGCAGTGGCCCCAAACCCACACTGCCCCAGCCCAAGAGCACACTACCATGCACCAGGCCACCCTGGCCTCTTATGACTGTGTCTAAGGTGCTCCACCCCCACAGACTCCCCCAGAAACCACCAGTTTATCAATCAACCAAAATGTGTGTGAATATATATAGTCAATTAGTGAGTTCTAACCATAACAAAAAAATATAGAAATTGAAGAAGGCAGCAATGTCATCTTACATTTTCTTTGTGGCTTGGTGCTTCTGCTTTCCCACTGCCTGTGATGCTCCTCCTGGTGATACTGCCACCGCTTCTCAGAGTATCAGCAGCAACTTCCTCCTTACAGCAGTTAGACCAACAGCCAAGCCTCTCTGGGTAGCTCCCACACACTTCTTTCCTCTTTGGCCACTGCCTCCCTACTACTGCCAAGCCCAGGGTTTTTAAAGTTCTAGCCTGCCCCTTCCAGTCACCTGACTAGCTAGCCAGGCTCAGCTTTTAACCCCTTCTCTGCCAGGAGGCCCTGCCCACAAAGTTCTGGTCTTAAAGGGACTGACCTGCCTTCTGGTAACAGCGATAAGGTTCTCTGTTACAGGCAGCTAACCCCTGAGCCACTGCTCCTTGTACCCCTACCTCCTCTCCTGTTCCCCTGGGTCACATGTACATTGCTTTCACAGTTGAGATTGATGCTCTGGTGGTGTTTGAAAAGTTTTGTGTTGACAGGGAAGGGGAATAAAATTGCCTTTGTTTTCAACATGGCCATACTGTGTGTGCTATTGAGGTTCTGATAGTGGACAGGGATGGAAGCCCCTGAGCAAGTAGTCTAGTAATGGTGATGATAGGTGTGGTGCCCTACTCAGATGGGTGGGCCAGCAAGTGGGAGGTGATGGCATCTCACACTCTGGCTCCCAAGTGTTTCTGATGGAGGGGTTGCTCCTCATCTGCAGCACTGTACCAGGCTGGGTGGCTCCGTTGCAGCTGCTGCTGGATGCTCTGTGATACATAGGAGGTATCCTCCATCCACTGGGGCTCAAACACCTCTCCTCAGGACTCACACACATTGTGCAGGACACATGCTGTGGTGATAATGCAGGGTATTTGTTGTGGCGCTGCCTCCAGGCTGGTGGTGAGGCTCTGCTGGTGTCCCTTCAAATGGCTGAACACCTGCTTGATGGTGCATCATCAGTAGGTGAGGGCCTCATTGTATCTCTGCTGCTGAGCATCCAGAAATCCTGGGAAGGGGCGCATCAGCCAGGGAAGGAGCTGGTCTGCTGCATCTGTCATGATCACTGGTGGTATGCTGACATCCCCAATGGTCAGGTCTTGGAATCCCTGGGGCAAAGGCCCATGCCTGCATCAGTCCTGGAAATGGCAAGTGGTGCAGCACACAGGCATTGTGGGCACTCCCAGCCCACCCGGTCTAAATGTGGGTGAAGCAGCCATGATGGTCTACAATCATTTCAAGTGCCACCGAGTTGCTGCTGCAGTGATTGATGTACTGCTGCCCTCCCCCAGGGGTAGAGAGGATGGGGACATGGGTCCCATTGACAGCCTCAACACAGTTGGGGACCCAAAGGCCCCAAACCCTGCCACCACCTCCCCCGGGTTGGCCAGCCGGATGACTCGGTCACCTAGGGTGTCCTGGATGGCCCCACATACATCCAGAACAGCCTGGTCAGCGGTGGCCTTCCCCACTCCAAAGGAGTGGGACACATACCTGAGACTGGTAGGTGTGGCCAGCCTTATGATGGCTATGGCCACATGCTTCTTCGAGGTGGGGGCCAGATTCATCACAGTGTCTTGCTGCTCAATGTCAGGGGTCACCTGGGCCACCAGGTGCATGAATGTGCCCCTTGACATCTGGAAGGTCTGTGTCCAGTGTGCGTTGTCCCAGGTGGGGAGGACTATACACTCCCACCAGTGTTTACTGGTAGCCCAGGCCCAAGTGCGATGGTACATGTGGGGAGTGATGGCAGGGTCTTCATTGTCAGCTGCTCCCTCTGTTGGGTCTGATGTAGCAGTAGTGGGGTGGAGGGCTGCAGCAGGGGCTGGCAACACAGGTATGCTCCTCTCCAGCAGGGCCAGCTAGTACTTAGAGCCCCGAGCTAGGCAGGTGACTCTGGTTCCCAACTAGGCTGTCTGGATGTAGTGATGCTGCTGTGCAGCCACAGCCAAGAGGTTCAATTGGATCTGCTGCAGGGGCCATACCAGAACCGAGGCAGCTGTGTGGTCTATGTCTGCATCTGGTAGGTGTGCAGCCATGGGGCCACAGGTGCAAGGAGGCAGATTCTGTTGCAGGTGGCAGCAGGTCACAGACAGGCATCAGTCCTCCCTACTAGACTGCTGTGGTAGGTAGAGGGTTCAGGGGCCACTGTAAGTCAGGGCAGCTTCGGCAGTCCAGCTGGCATGGGGGGCTGGTGTCTCCAGATGCCAAGTGGCGGGGCCTCAGAAGCTTCTGAAGCTCAGAAACTGGCCAGGGCAGCTTTCTATACTTCTGGGGCCAGCACAGGTGCTGGCTCCGGGCTCTAGCTCCCCCTGGCTGCAGATCTGTGAGGAGCAAGGCAGGGTTATTTTGCCCCAAGTGGCACAATTTGCCCCACAGCAAAGTGCATGTCCGGGTACGCCCGCTGCGGCAAAAAGTTCTGGCTCAAATTTGCACCACTTCTATTTGAGCTGCTGCAAACAGACGTGCCTTCATGTGTGGACGTGCCCATAAACTATACAGCAGAAGTACTACACTGCTGCAGAGATTTTTACTCCATAGCAGTGCATGTGTAGATGCTGCCCCACTGGCTGGGCCATGAGGGTGCTTCAGTGTGGGAGCTTCCTGCCAGTTAGCCCCTCACTGGAACACCCTCATGCCCCAGCCACCCCTTTGCAGTACGTTGAACCAGAGGGAGCAGCCCCGGGCTGGCAGGCTAACCCCGAGGGCTCCCTGCCAGCCTGTGCTGCTCTGACCTAGCTCAACGTCCTGGGTGCATGTTCATACAGCACACCAAGGAACAATAAACTCTGGAGCAATAAAATCCCAGAGTTTTTTGTTTCATGTTAATTGCATCTGTAGATATATCCACAGGTCATTCCATTTTATTTTTGGAGTTTATAGAAGGGAAACGACACTCTGTCGCTTCCCTTTCTGAAATGCCAGAGGGGAATAAGATGTTATAATAGGCATAAATAAGGTTCATATTCCAGGTCAGAAAAGGTGAGCAGTCTTGTTTCATCATTTCCAAATAAGTTCTTTTTAGCTTAACTATTCATTGCCCCCAAAGTAGTAAATTCTAAGTTTGTGTTCAACTCAAAGCAATTTCTTTTTCTGGATACTGAGGTGCTGGCATTCAGCTTTATGGAACTACACAATGTTTTTCCCTTTTTCAAACAAGATTTATGTAAATTGTAGATAGAATTGGGCAGCAAAAATAATTGTAGCATAAATGTGAATATGCTTGTTCAGTGGCAATCTTAAAAAAATACAAGGTGCTATAACTGCTTTCAGTAGTGTAACATATGTACTGATTCTTTTTTGGTTTTAGGGGGGAGGGGGTGTGCTCAAATATAACAGAAACTGTGCTACCAGCCCAGCCAGTATTGCCACTAACAGCACAGCCACTGATGCTGCCATATGTATTGTTGCCCAAGGCACTTAAGCAGCCAGTTACTCCTCTGACTGTGTGCATTTTTCTTTATATTTCGGTAACACAGAATATTGGACAAAATAATCTATTTGACACAGGTTTCACACATTTGTTTCCTTTAGTGTAATCTGGGATCTCTTTTCCTTCTGGGAGTTAAAAATGTGCATTAAAAGAAGGCTTGGAACTACACTGCTATCATTGCAAGTGAATGAATGATGCAAAAGTGGACACAGATATTTGTGTCTAACAAATTACTCTGAATACATTGATATTCCAAGCTCTGCTTCTTTTTCTCCCTCTGCTTTCTACAAATGATGTATGCCCCCACCCAGTAGCTGTACTCTAACCTATATGAATTCATGTACTTCTCTTCAAATATTTTAATTACATATATCAACAAAATTAAAGCATCAGTGATTATGAATGAATTAAAAAGAAAAAAATGTGCATGTTGTAGAAACAGATGAGGGAAACTGTTTGTTAGAAAAAGACAGTAGATACATTAATATTACTTGTGTTGCAATACTTAATTCTTTATCCCTGTGTGTGTGGTGGGGAGGCTTGGGAACAAAAATGGAAGATTAACACTTTTTTCTGTAAGATTGGCAGAATTGTCACAATGTGAGAAAACCATATAAAGAACGTGGGTTTACTACCCCCCCCCCCCCCCCCCCCCCCGGTACCCCGTCACCTGTGACTGATCAGATGCCTAGGATGGTGAGGGGAAAGATCAAGAGCTGTTTACATGACGTAAATGAAAAATTTGGCTGGGGTTGTGTGTGTTATGATTTTAAGTTAGTTCCCATAGAAAAGGAATTGTAATAATGGTGCTGGTGGAAAATTCACTAATGCATTTGGCCAGTAAGTTGGCTGTCAGCTTGTAGGACAGGGGAAATGGGTGATTATGTTTTGGGACATCTTACAACAAGAAATGAATTGCATTTACTTTAACCCTTGTGCACCTTCTCTGAAGGCTTCTAGGGTAAGAAGAGGAGGTCAGCAGGACAATGGAACAGAGTCATTTTCTCCAACTAGGCACATGTAGGTCTTCTACATAATATGGATTTGGGGAATGATCGGACAAACTTCAAGTGAACTCCCATTTAATAAAAACTGATTAAGGGTGTGAGATATGACCTTTTTCATTTGCTGTTTATAAAATAAGTGAGTTTTTGTTTTACCTTTTGAAAACACACTGGGCAAAGACTGAGTTTAACAAAAGACCTTCTTGACTCCAGATAGTTGGCAGATATTAGGTAAACTTGCACACAACAGGTGTTTGCCCCAGATATGGCTTGTTAACTCTTATCCAAGCTCTGAGGGAAATAGGGATTTGTTTCCCTTCAGTACAGGAGAAACACAAAGATCTAGGAAACTAGGGTGGGAGAAGCTGTTGTGCTGTGCTAAATTGTGTTGGCTAAAGGAGATTTTATTGTACTAGTGCTTTCAAGTTTGCAGTAATTCCCAATCCCAGGAAGGAAGGAAGTTTGGATTCTAACTTGGAATCTGCATGCTTTGCTAAAGGAGGGAGTCAGTCTATTTGCTGTTTAACATCTTTTTGATCCAATTTACCTGAAGTTCAAAGAAAAATGGTAAGGAGATGGTTTTACACATTTTGAAGCATAAAATACAAATCTAATATTTCCTGGGCCCACAATACATGTTCTTCTTGCTGCCTTTTGTGGTTCAGTTTTTCTTTGGGTGCAGATAGAAGTGACAATTTTTGCCTGATCTGGCCACAGAAAGTGGTTTATAGCCATGACCAAAC